TGGGAAACAGGTAGAGCCGGAACATAACTCCCACAGTCATCTATGGCAAAGCTCCCTGACCTCACTTTCCAAAATGATGAAAACCAACAGCAGCCCCAACCTAGCAGCCCCAGCCCACAGCCCGGTCTCGAAATTTCCAAACCAACGCCGAAACTCGCCCCACCCATTAATGCCTCGGGGGCAATGGGCAGGACAAAAATTCAGGAAGAACTCTCAATGCCCAGACAAGTAAGTGTGTTGTTTCGTTTTTCCAAGCGGTGCTAATCTAGGTTTGAACAGGCACTCACACCTCCAGCCGAGCAAGGGCGGGAAGCAGAGCCAGGTGCGGGGACGGGAGCAAGGGCCCTGGGGGTCCGGACGGGATCACGCCGTCTCCCAGAGAAGCCCGCTTTCTAGGTGCTCAGTAGGTGCTGTGCCATGTGTTCTTAGGCAACACATTGCAAGCAGTGAGACCTCGTTTGTGACTTACCTTCGGAAAGTACCTAAAGAGCAGCGTTTAGAGAGTGTTTACAGGGCATCGGGTATAGGGTGTCGCTCTATTATGCCCGGTGCCAGCCGCGTTTCTGGCCTTCTCTTTCTGCAACCAGGGCGGTAGAGCCAGTTTCGAACAAAGTTAAACACTGCTTAGTCACACAAGTTCGCTATTCTTTCAATTTTCTGCTTCTTTGATTCAACGATAGTCCCTAAATGGGAGCAATCATTATTTGTCACATCTCTCACAACAAAATGCTTTTGAAAGGGAGGCTCTTAAATAATACCTCACGAGTCACCTTTCCTATTTCCCCCACACTGCATTAAGGTCAGGTTGCAGCACTATTGATTTCCAAGTGTTCATTATCTGTCTTCTCTCCAAGGGTAGGCTATTAAAGGTGGTGAGGGTAAAAATCATTCCTAACATATTAGCTCATTCTAGAGCTAACTGCCAATTTCTGGAGCAAGCTAAAGCCCTCTCAGAGATCCGGTTACCAGACTGTCATTTCGGTCAGTATTAAAAAACATTTTTTTCTTTTTCCTGGTCACCTCTTAACCATATAATTTATCTCCCAAGTTTCTTGAGATTTGCACACAGTTTGAGACGGTAGAACAAAGGTCCCAGGAACATTTTCACAGCACTTACCACAGGACGTGATATGGGGTGGGTAAGGGAGGGGTTGGTGGGAGGGTTTGGCCGGGCAGAGTCATAACATTTGCTACCACAACTAGACACAAAGGCAGGCCCAAGTCCATGTATATGGTGGTCAAGTTCCACCAAGTTCCATGCCCGTCTTTGTTCATAACCTAGGCCTAAATAATTGCAAAAAATTAAAACAGAATCACCACCACTACAATAAATATAACTCTAAATGTAACTACAGGTTCACAGTATTTTCTTTTATACTTATTTATTTAAATGTTTTTACTTATTTTAGAGAGAGGAAGGGAGAGGGATAAGAGAGAAACATCAATGATGAGAGTTACCAGTCAGCTGCCTCCTGCACGACCTCTACTGGGGATTGAGCCCAAAACCCGGGCATGTGCCCTGACCAGGAAGCAAACCAGTGACCTCCATTCATGGGTTGATGCTCAACCACTGAGCCACACCGGCCGGGCGGTTCACGGTATTTTAGCTGAGGGAGGTGGCCAAGCAAAATTAGGAGTAACTGAAATCAGAGACTCTAGTTAAGAGAGATGTGAATTTGAATCCCAATTTTGTCACTTACTGTTTGAGATTGGAAAAATTAGTAAAACTAACTGAATCTGAATTCATTCTTTTGCAAAGATCAAATGCCAGCACCTACCTCATGAGGTTGTTCTGGAAAATTGAGACTGTGTTCAGTTAGCTTGGTATGTGGCACATAGTAGGTAAGTGCTCGGTGAAACAGCAGCCGTTATAACTCCTGCTTCACTATACCAAGGAGCAGCTCATCACAGCTGACGCTTGAGCAACTCGAATTTGGACAGCATGAGTCCACTTCTGTGCACTTTCCCCCCCAATAAATACAATCAGCCCTTCCCCTTAGAACCCATGTGTTCTTATCTGTGGGTTTCGCATCCACAGGTTCAGCTAACTGGGACTGAAACAGTATTTTCACATTCCCAGCCGCACATTCCCAACCTCTGATCCAAAATACTGTTTTCAATCCTGGTTGATTGAATCTGCAGGTGTGAAGGGCTGATTAGTCAAAAGTTGGGCAAATTTTTCGACCGCATGTGGGTCGGGGTCCCTACCCCCACACTGGGGTCAACTGTATTTTGTTTAGAAATTAAATGCTGATGCCTCAAAAGGACCTTGGAGGACCAACCCAATCAGATTCTTGTCCGGTCAGAAGAGCCTTGGCCGCCCCGTGACTGCTCAGTCTCACAGTTTAAAATTTCACCATCCTTCTGGCCAGCTGTGAGGTGCAAAACTGTCTCCTACCTTCCACGCAGCCTGGGGAACAAAAGCAACCAGGTCGGGTTCTTCTGGTTGGTTTCCCTTTCCCGCCAGCTGTCAACTTCTTAAAAAGAAAACAGGGCAGAAGATGGGCGTGTCCTCTACACTCCCAAGTCAGGCCGCATTTATTTATTTTACCTGGGGAGGTTTTTCTCCGTGGGTGACCCATTTCTTTACCGTACTTGCCTCTCCTGATCCATAAAAGCCTCAGAGGTCTCACTCTGAGACAGAGAGGAGACCGAACACAGCAAGAGGTGAAAAAGGAAGAAGTTTACCTAAAACCAAAGGTGAACTAGAGATAAGTGAGTAAATAAGCACAACAGGCCAAATCCTGGAACACTGCGGGCCTGGCAGAGGGCACATTGTGTGGAGATCCAGAGACCCTCTTTCAATTAAGAGCCTGAGTTTCTTGGTAGCAACCAGCTTTACCTGGAAGACAGCTGGCTAGGAAGTCCAGTTCCAGTGAGGGGGTTACCGTGAGACCATTGCTAACCTTACCATCAAGTGAGCCGACCTCACAAAGTCAAGTCTCCCCCACGCATTACACAACTCGAGGGTCTGCTGTAGCAGCACAGGTGGGAGCATTTTCAGCTATCTGCCAGAGACAAGCGTGTCATCATTCCTGGTGGTCACATGCTGCTGGCTCGGAGGTGGGAACTGCAGAGCTTTTAGTAACGTGACTATAATGACATCAAGACCTGTGACAATAGCAGCCGCCCACTTCCTGAGAGCTGGTTTGGTGTACCCCAGTTAATCCTCACTTTAAACCTGGAAGAGGTCAGACTGCCCCATTTTAGAGATGAAGGCCCTCAAGCCAGTGAGGTTAAGTAGCTTATCCAAAGCCACCGGCAGGCCTGGGATTCAAACCTATGTCCATTTGATTCCAACGGCTGGGCCACCGACTCGGCAATTTGAACCCCGAAGTGCGCCTTGAAAAGGCACGTTCACTCTCCGCTTTTCCTGAGTTTTTAAAATTACCTCATTGTGCAGTCTTCTCGTGAATGTTTTTTAAAACTTAATTTGGTTCCTTTAAAATGGCTCATTGGCCTTGCGTTGGTAGCCATTCAAGCTGGATGATAGACATAAGGGGATCCATTATATAATTCTACTTTTGCATGTTTTTCATTACCCATAATAAAGTTTTGTGTTTTTTTAACTTTTCTAATTGGCTCTTTGGGACGTTGGGCGAGGGAAGGCCACACTAATTGTTGAAGTGAGATCTCAGCTCTCTGCGGACGTCACGGAGCTGCAATATCCCTCATCGCCTCCCGTCAACGAGCAGCTCCAGTGCCGCCCCACCCACCAGCCAGCCGCCCCGGCAGGGTGTCAGTCACTTTTACGAGGCTGGAACTGGCTGTCCCGAGCGGCTTTCGGACAGGGCAGGAGTCTTTCCCAGCCTCCACCCCATCCAGGCGGCGCGCCCTCCCAGGTGTGGTCGATTTCGCAGGGGCGGGT